TATTTGCAATTCTGGTAATTAAACTTGGGCCTTTGCTAGATCAGGCAAGGACTATATCATTAAGCTAAATGCCCAGCCTTGTTAGGTTTTTGAATCCATCCCTATCCCTTTCCACGGCTGGGGATTGAACCCAGGGCCTTGTACTCTACCACTGAGCTATATCCCTAGTTCTTTAAATTTTGAGACAGGGTCTCACTTGTCTGGTTGCCTTATTTGTTTTTGGTCTTTTTTTTTTTTTTTTAAACTGTAGTTTTTTTGGTTGAATTGTTTTTTAGGGGGAGGTTTATTTTTTGTTTTTGGTGCTGAGGACCGAACTCAGGGCTTCCAGCTTGCTAGGCTTGTCTGGGCTTATTTAGATCTTTTACATCTTCTTGATTCAACTTTGATAATTCATATGTATGTAGGAATCTGTCCATTTCTGTGTTTTTCATCTTACTAGAATATAAATTTTCAAAGGAGGTATAGAGGATCTTATGGATTTCTGCAGGGTTCATTGTGAAAGTCACTCCTTTCATTCCTAATCGTGTGGAATTTGAGTGTTTTCTTTTTTTGATAAACTCGGATGAGGCTATTTCAATTTTACTTAATCTTTCAAAGAATCAACTTTTCGGGCTGGGGAGATAGCTCAAGGGCATAAGTGCCTGCCTGGCAAGCCTAAGGTCCTGAGTTCAATCCCCAGTACCCCTCCCCCCCCAAAAAAAAAAAAACCGCAAAAGAATTAACTTTTCAATTTATTGATTCTTTGTATTGTTTTTAGTCTCCAATGTATTAATTTCTGCTCTAATCTGTATATAGTTTCCTCCCTCACATAACCTTTTGATTTAGCCTGCTTTTCTTTTTCTAGAATTTTGAAGTTTACCATTAAATTAAGTTGTTTATTTGCAGTTGATCTGTTTTCTTTTTTTAAAATTTATTTATTTATTTATTTATTTGTGTGTGTGTGTGTGTGGCCAGCTCAGCCCACCAGGGGGCGGGCCTGGCTGGCATGTGATGCTGGGGGATTGAACTGTGGTCCCTGTGTTTTGCTAAACTTGTTCTAAGTAGGTGCTTTAGACCACTGAGCCATCTCACCAGCCCCAGTTGATCTGTTTTCTTTACAGATATTCAGTGCTATAAATTTCACTCTTAGGAATGCTTTCTTTCTGTCTCATAAGTTCCTGTATGTTATATTGTTACTTAATTGTAGAAATTAATTTATTTTAATTTCATCTGTGACCTATTTATGAGGTTGCTATTTA